AGTTGTGTGGAAGGAGATCCTGGCATCCATATGGTCATCCATAATAATTTGTGCAGTGCTTCAGGTGAGGCTTGTTTGAGATTTTAAACATGCAAGAAGCTGCTGCGGATACATCCCTGCAACAAGGGGAGTTCAAAACTTGATTGGGTTTTTATTTAATCTAATAAATCAAGTTCATCTCCGAAGAGGAGCTCTCAGCAGCATGCTGGCATCTCTGATGACTGACAGTTAAAAAAACAAACCAACAAACCATTGCAGATCAGTGTCCCTCTCATGGAGGGGAGCCTGGATGACACCCCAGCAGCACCAAGCAGTTAATTTCTCTTGATTTTTCTTCCCTTGCCTATGAAAAATGTAATGCTCTCCTCTCCCTTCACCTCTGCTTTGTGCTGCCTGCAGGATGGGGGTGTGGGTGGGGTGCTGGCAGCATCCCGCAGCTGTGGGACAGCCCCTTCACCTGGCTGGGCTCTCCAGTGGCAGCTGGACCCTGCTGCCACCAGCTGCCCCGTGGCAGGGGACCTCTGCTTCTTCCAGCCATACTGTCCTCAAGTCATGAATCCTCCAGCATCTCCCCACAACCACCCTTGTCCAGCACATCATCCTTTTTGGCTGCATGGTGCAGGGACCCTGCTGGGCTCACGTGGCGGGGATTTGAGGCAGCTGAGGTTGGGGCCATTGAGAGTCTCTGAAATCTGTTTTGTTTCCCAGTGCCAGAGGATTTTGGGAAGGGGGGTCAGATGGGAGCAGGCATCCAGCTGTGTCCTCTGAAATGTCCTCTGTTCTGAGCAAGATTTTGCAAGCCAGCCTGTGTGCTTTTTAACTCCCATCTTGGCTATCACAGCATGCTGCCTGCAGACATTACTCGAGCCCTTGGGCCAGGATGTGCCAGCACAAACCAGCAACAAGGGCTGGACTCCAGTTGTTCACGCTGACCTTAGCAAGGGGTCGTCTTCGTGAAAAGGGCTGTAACTGCCTCTCATCTGATGGAGCTGAGTATTTTTATACCTCACTTCCTCAGAGCTTGTCTCTTTGCATTACTGCTGGAAAAAGATAGCTACAGAAATATTAAAATAGCTAGAGGAAAGGAGGGGGCAGGTCACTCCCAATTTGCAGCTTTACTTTCAGGCCTCTCAACTCAATTATCTAGCAAATTGGGCTCCGAGGAAAATCAACGTGAGCTACCATCAGGTATCAGAGAGCAGCACGGATGAGCTTCATTATGGGGTCACACTTGAAAGCTCTCCAGCCTTGCCGTAGCTAATGCTGCTGGCTGTTTGCAATGGTTCCTAGCCCCGGCTTGGAAACCCCCTCACTACAAAGCATTGGCACGGACATTTCTCCTCACTGAGGCTCAATGTCTGTAGCTGAAAACGGGGGCTTGCCGGAGGGCACGGCTCGTTGTGCACCACAGCACCTTCCCCCCAGCCAGGCCAGGGACACTCCAGGTACCAAAGCCTGGATTTTAAGTTGTCTGCAGTTATTAAGGTGTTTAGCTGCAGCTGCCCTGTTTGGTTTGCTTTGTGCTAAAGTAGATGAATCCCTATAGAAATCCTATCCGGTATCTATATGTCCATTAGTGTATCTTGCATGAAAACCCATAGTGACAAAAACCACTAGAACTCAGTTTGCTTCTTTGCAATATCTTGGGGTTTTGTCTGAAAGAACAGGGATAGTCTTAGGGCTTCTAGAGGGAAATAATTGAAAAATAAGAAGGTCAGATGAAGTCTCTGCTTTGGAATTTGGAAACAGGTGACCTGGGAGTGCTGGGGAGATCACCCAGCTTTGGTCTAGCTTCTGCATAACCTGTGTCCCAGTGCTGTCACATCCCTGCCAGCCCAGAGGAGCACAGGCAGGGTGTGAGTGATGCTGTGAGCATGGGAAGTGTGCCCGGCCCCCGAACAAGCCCCCACTGCAGGAGGACCTATAGACTGTGGCAGTAGATCTATAACCAGAGCTGCACTGAGGGCCCTGGTGTGACGGCCCCAGCTGCCCTGCTCTGCAGAAAGCCAATGTGTGCCCCACGTAGGGTTTCCTGCTGGGGCGGAGCATGGGGGATTTTTTTTCTGTCCTGTGGAAAGGAGATTGCTGTCACTGCTGCTCAGCAGCTGCTTTAGCTCAACTGTGCTATTGATGTGTCCCTGCCCATGGCAGGGGGGTTGGAACTAGATGATCTTTAAGGTCCTTTCCAACCCAAACCATTCTGTGAAACTGTGATTCTATGTGGGTTCACATGCAGCTGATGATAATGTATCAGGACTCCTCTTTGCAGTTCCCTTTAAGAACAAAATAGGGAATTAGAGATGGAAAAACCTCTGGGGAAGAAAAGAACAAACCACCATTAGATTTGCAAAGCCAAGAGCACAGGATTTAAAACCCACCAGAATTAAGTTGCATGTGCAATTCAATTTTATGCCTGCTCTTTCTGCATTATGCAGCAATCACTAATGTGGGGTCCCATGCCCTCCACCCCCTCAGGCTCCACACTGATGCCAGCACTGAGGGGCTGCAGTGGAGCAGAACACCCACCTGCTAGTGTCCCCAGCTGGGCTCGGTGGCTTGGGAGAGCTGGCTCCTGCCACAGCCACCCGGTGCCTTCATCAGTCACACATTGTCATCAGCGCTACTCAGATGGATTATTGCAGATATATTTGGTGCAGTGTTTCCACCCCTGCTGATACTCTCTATAGGAAAACCCACTGCTCTCATGGAACCCCACTGTCCCCCACTCAGCCCCTTCCTGATGGCATGGTCCCTGTGGGCTTGGCAGGGCTCCCTGCTGCTGCTCCGCTGGGGATGGGTGCTGTATTCCCTGTAGGAGGGTGCAGGGATGGAGAAGCAGTTTCCCAAAGTAGCTTTTCTTTTGCAGCACCAGACAGAAAAGGTCGATCACCAGCCCTCAGCAGCCCCAGGGGTGCTCCTGTGTTGTACAGAAGGGCAAACTGAGGCACAGTCTGTGCCCAAAGCTTGTGACCATGTGGGGGTGGACCAGATGATCCTCAGGGCTGAGCAGACTCATATAACTGTACCAAAAAAATGGTGCTGTATAGAGAAGCCAAAGTCTGTCCTGAACCAAGAGCAAAGAGAGTGACAGGAAAACAGTGGAGTAGGGAGCAGAGAGGCTTCCCAGATGAGCTGTCCTCCCCTTGTTGCCCCAAAATGGAGGCCTTTGTTTCAGGCTTCTTGAAATGCAACCTTCTGGCTTCTCCTTTCCACACCTGATCTTAAAATGACCCTAAATTAGTAAAAGAGGAAAAATAAAACATAGAAGCAAAAGAGACTGTGAATTCCATCCCCCACAAAAGCTAAACCTGGCTCAGAAGAGATGCTCTGGCAGGGCAGTGGGGGATTCAGGGGATGAGCATCAGCCTGGGCATTGCTGGCAGGGCTGCCCATGAGCAGCCCAAGCAGGAGGTGCACCATATCCCATGACCCTCCACACTGAAGAAGTGTGTTTGTCAGTGAATAAGTGTGTTTGTTTTTCTGACCCCATCCCCACCTGTGTCCATGCATGCTCAAGACCTGGACTCAGGAGACGGCGGAGGGCTGATTTTGCAGCAAGGCTGCGTGGCACCAAAAAGAAATCCTTAGTGCTCACTGTTGAATGTGTTGTGAAGCTGGTGCCCAGAAGAGATGGTGTTTATTGACGCAATGGAGGGCAGATGGTCCCTGGCCTTGCGGCTCTTCAGGAGAGTTTTATCAAAGCAAGCAGGACAGCCAGTGTGTGTCAATTAGGAAACAGTTTAGCTTGCTGTGTGCTGGTAACGTTACAAAGGATTTGCAGTTGGGTTTCAAGCCAGCATTAAAGATCTGAAAAATCCATCAAACTCAATTCTGTTAATTGCAGAGGAAGCCCCGGGGCGTGCACTCACTGGCTGGCCCTGTGCTCACACCTCCCTTCCAGCGTCTGCTAAACATGGGCTGGACCTGATGCCTTTGATTTGTTTCCACTGCTGTGTGCAGCCCAGACTCTCTCCTCCAAGCCGTGAGACCTTGTTTGGCAGTGGAGAAGCACTGAAAAACCTCAGGCGTGCTTCCTGTAGCATGTAATAGCAGCCTGTGCGCTACGGGGAGCAGTCTGCATCAGCTGCTGATGGGGATTCGGGGACATGCTTGATGCTGCAGTACTACTTCTGTGATTCAGTATTGTTATACCAGCACTTAAGGGTCTGTTCTCCCTTCCCTGCGCTCATGTAACTCTCATTATTGCTAATAGAGTATGGATCTGTTCAGGAATTCAGGCTGCATACCCTGCCTAGGTTTGGTTCGCAGTGCATCTTGATGGCATCTTCAGCACCATTTCCATTACCTGGAAACATCCCCCCTGTTTCTGCCACATTTTATATCATTAACAGAAGGCAAAAGGGAGTTGCTTTGATGGGAAATGAGGCACTGGAAGGGGGCAGTGCGCAATAGGGGACCCTGGATGTTCCCCAGCCCTTCACTTAAGGATCCCTGCAAGGACAATGTGGTCCTGCCTAACATGCTGCGGTGCCCAGCCTAGCTGCTCTCGGAGACCTCACTCCCTGCAGCTCATTTCTCTGCATTTTCGACTTTCACCTCTTTTTCCCTCTGTTTGGTCCAGGAATGTGAGTGATTCCTGAGCTGGGAAAGAAGCCCAAGGTGCAGGCGCTGCTCTCATCCCTGCTCTCCTCTGTCTCACTGGCGACGCCTGGGGTGGTGGTTTGCTTGCAGACATGGGCAGCAGTGACTTGCTTTCTCCTTCCAGCAGGAGTGGGGAAGCTGCTGCACACACCGGGGGCATGGGAGCAGCACAGGGACCAATGGTTGACGGATCAGCCCATGACAATATATGCAGAAGGCATGTGGATGTGCCTTGGCATCTTTCTGGGCATCTATAATCCAGTGTCCTTGGCTGGTGGGGGAACCTTTGGCTCCCAGAGGATGTCCAAAGAGTGTGGGGCGGATGTTTACCACCATGTTCTGCCTGCACGATGATGGTAACAAACATAAATCCTAATCTATGTGTTGTCTTCTAACAGGTCAGCCTTTTAAGCTGGACCCCAAGATGGCTCACAAGAAGTTGAAGATCTCCAATGACGGGCTGCAGATGGAGAAGGACGAGAGCTCCTTGAAGAAGAGCCACACGCCTGAGAGGTTCAGTGGGACAGGATGCTACGGTGCGGCAGGCAACGTCTTCATTGACAGCGGCTGCCACTACTGGGAGGTGGTGGTGGGATCCTCGACCTGGTAGGCAGCACTGTTGTCTTCCCTCCCTCTCCTAGAGACCTCAGATTTCCCCAGAGATGTTGTGGGACACACTAGGGTTAAAGGCCACGGTTTTGGCAGAGCTGCTTATGAGCAGGGAAGTGGTTGAGACCTTAAATCTGGGTGGCTGTGGCTTTCAAGAGGTTTATGAGTTTCTCCTCTCTGCCAGAATCCTTTAGGTCTGATCCAGCCAGGCTGCAAGGTGAAGCTTTTATCTTCATTTCCCTCACCTGCTGAACCTGCTAATGCCTGCCAGGGCTCAAATCTCACCTCGATGGCAGGGCAGAGGTACCACAGAGCTTTAAATCTGCTGGTTTTCCCATGTGCAGTGCCCTCCCCTGGGCTGTCTCATGCAAGGTCCCACTTAGCTGGGCCAGATGTGGTTATAAAGTGTGAGGTGGAAGGCTAAGCAGAGGGGGACCATGACTAAGCAGAGGAGACAGGGATGTCTCCAGGGGAGGTTTGCAAAGGCCTGGCAAGCCACTGGAATACCCTGTGAGGGCAGGGAGCTCAGGGGAAACTATATTTCACCCTATATTCATACCCCAGCATTGAAGGCTGCCAGGAGAAACCATCCCAAGCAGCAGGTTCTCCAGCTCATAGGGACATACATCTCTGCTTTGTGATAGCAAAGGGCCCAGTGGGGCAAAGAAGAGGGTGATGCTTCACCCACCATTTGCTCTCCCATTACCCTGTGCTGCTGACGCGTGGCTCTGCCTCAAGAGAGGCTGCCTTCACTCCCACAGGCTGCTTCTTTTGAGGGAGGGCAAATCCATGTCTCCCTCCCATCTGCAGGAATGCAGGGCTTTGTCCCCATCTTGGGGCACGTTGGCATCTGCTGAAGGCCACCAGGCTTGGTGGAGCACCAGGAGCAATAGCAGCCCTGGATGCAGCCCCTCCTCTGCAGTAATTGCTCTCAGCTGAGGTTTCCAGGCTCTGTGGGTTAATGCTGTGAGTGTGGAAGGGTGAGAGCCAAGCCTCCCTGTGCTCTATGGGAGATGAAGGTGGCGTTCTCATGGGCTACAAGGATGGGGATTGCTTTAGCTCCACTCCTCTCTAGCAGCCTGCTGCCTTCTCCCCAGCGTCCTTGTCGGAGATGCTTGCACAGGAGCACTGCTACAAGTACAGCTTCTTGCTCCAAGGCAAGGAGCATCCTTGACCCCACAGCACCCCCCTACTGCATCTCAGCAGGCACCCCAGCCCAGACTTGCCCTCAACCCAAGCCCCTGCATGCAAAACGCATCTGGGCAGCAGCGGAAGGGACGAGTCAGGGATGGAAGCTAGTGCACCCTTTGTTAAAAGGCCGTTTCTGACTTTAGCAACTTGATTTGTGAATTGTTTCTCAAGCAATAATTATATCTGGAGCTGTTCTTAGAAATGGATCTGTTCCAGGTGTTGTTTTGCTGATGACTGAATACTGCAAGACCTTCAGAGGCAGAAATAGCTTTCAAATATATAGCAGCTCCTCGGGCTGTGCAGAGGGGTGCGTTGAGGTGGAGAACAAGCATGGCTGTGTGCTGGAAGGCAGCTAATTGAGTTGGCTGTGGCTGTGACTCTGAGCAAGCCTGGAGCCCTGTGTCCTCGTGAGGTTCACACCAAGGTTGCCCTTGACCAAAGCTTCTGGTTCTTCCAACCAGAGGGGTTTTGAGAACAGCGAGTGGCAGCAGTCAAAAGCCGAAGAGCACATGCTCTCTTCATGCCTCCTAACACATGACCACGGGAAAATGACACTCTTCTCCTAGGGGCCTCAGGCATAGCCAGGAGGGAAGGTCTCGCAGTGGGCTGGCAGCTCTGCTCTGCAGTGGCAGGGGGAGCAAGCAGATCTGGAGCTTTTTGTCCTGGGGGTTTGGAGGAAAGGAGTGTCACTTCGTGCCTTTTCCTGACCCCTGTGCTTGCAACTGCTGCCTGAGGCAGAACACCAGAACTGATGCTCAGGGGTCATTAACAGAGAAACCCCCTTTCCCTGCACCAGAGAACTGGCTCTGGTTTCTGGGGGTGCCTCTCTCCCCTCTCTGTTGGACAAGGGGGCTCAAGAAGCAAGCACAGCAGCAGCCCCAGATCAGAAACCATTCCCAGTGCTCACTCCCATCGGGCTCAGCCTCCCATCCACCCCCCGGGCTGAAAAATGCCTTTGCACAAGGCACATTTAGAAGTGAAACAATCAGGGTTTATTATGAGAAAGCCCCTACCAGGCAGATCCCCAGAAAGCCTCTGCTACTGAGCTGAGCCAGGAGGCAATACAGCAGCATTATCAAGCTGCTGCATTGTTAAAGTGCTGGTGCAGCACAATGGGGCTAAAATAGACAGTTCCTGTTGCAAGCACCCAGCTGTGTCACCTCTTCCTCTTGCCCCGCTGGCAGCAGGCGGTTGCATGGGGAGGGAGTGATGCTTTTCCCCAGCCAAGCCTCTGTAAGTGACTTTTCAGTCATGTAAAGCTGTTGCCGTGCTGCTTCCACAGTCAAATGAACTTTTAAAGCATGGGGTGCCAGCAGCTGGCAGGGCTGATTTCATCCTGTGCGGAAGCTGGGCATTGCTCAGCAAAGCTTCTGCTCTCTTGCAGGTACGCCATCGGTGTGGCTTACAAGTCGGCCCCTAAAAACGAGTGGATCGGGAAGAACTCCTCGTCTTGGGTCTTCTCCCGCTGCAACAACAACTTTGTGGTGAGGCACAACAACAAGGAGATGCTGGTCGAGGTCCACCCGCAGATGAAGCGCCTCGGTGTCCTCCTGGATTATGACAACAACGCGCTCTCCTTCTACGACCCAGCCAACTCCCTCCACCTCCACACGTTTGAAGTCTCCTTCATTCTACCGGTGTGTCCGACCTTCACCATCTGGAACAAATCCTTGATGATCCTCTCGGGTCTGCCTGCCCCGGACTTCATAGATTACCCAGAGCAGCAGGAGTGTAACTGCAGGCCCCAGGAGTCCCCGTACGTATCAGGGATGAAAGCCTGTCACTAGGCTGCCCTAGCCCTGCCCGTGCCCTGTGGTGGCACCAGCAATGCTGGTGGGTGCCAGCGGCCGGAGTCGGCGTGCCAGAGAGCCACCGTGCAGCCGTAACGCTCCAGCAAGTGAGCACCTTCCCACACACAGCTCAATATTTTTTTTTAAGGGGAAAAGAGGAAGAATCTCTAACCACAGCTGAAAATAAACTCCTGTTGGCGAGCTCCGCTTGTGTGCGAGTGCGGCTTGTGCAACTCCTTGGTGGTGTGCTCCGATCTCTCCCGAAGCGGATTGTCACCTGGATGGTTTTCTTTTCCCCTGGGGGCTGAAAAGGCTGGGGTGGGTTTTCAGGTGACCTTTTGAGGCACTGCTGTGCTCAGGGGGATGTCCCGTGTGTCTTTGCAAAGCACATGTTGGAAAAGTAGGGATTGGCTTTCTGGAGAGCATTGGTAGCTTGTCTTGAGAGCTGGGTGGGACCCGGGCAGATTTTTCCAGGGAGGACTTTCTGTTTGGCTGAAGTTCGGCAGCTTCTCTGGTGTGGTAGATAATTGCATGGACCCCTCACACTTGGTGAGTGCTGGCGTTGGTTGAGTGGTGGATGTTGGTTATGTGGTGGATGGTCCATGAGAGCAAAGGCAGCTCTGGGAAGGACGGTCCTGCTGCCTCTCCTGGCCACATGCATGCTGCTGCTGGCCATGTTCTCTGTGCTTGACTGGGCTTGGAGTCCCACAGTGGAGGGCAGCCAGCTGCAGACCCCACCCCAGTGTGTCTCCTCCTTTGGGAGCCCACTAGGAGTCAGGGAGGCCCCCACCCTTAAGGAGCAAGCCGAGGAGCGTCTCGCCCCGGCATAGAGGTTTGGCAGATTCCAGGTCCAGCCAGCTCTGCCCCACCACGTGCAGCTCCACGTAGACCTCCATTAGTTTCATGTCCCTGCAGAAAAGACACATCTCCCTATGCTGAGCAGATGGTCAAGTCCTGCCCTAGGACCAATTTATGACCCCAAGTCTTGGCTCTTAGTTTATTATCCACCATGTTGGAGTGAGTTTGCTCTGTGGCAAAGGACTGAATCTGTCCCAGGGGCTCCAGCCCCCGGTTACTGGGAGCTCTTTGGCTGCCACCAGTGCTCCCAGTAACCATAAGTGCTGAGTCCCCTGGCCAAGATTCAGTTTTCACATTTCCTTAAAAGCCAGGAGGAGCTGGGCCAGCCACACCAGTCCCTATGTTTCAGGGAGCAAAGACCCAGTGCAGGCACCTGCAGCCAGAGTCCATGGCACGACTCGGGGCAGGTGGGCATGTGGATGGCCACGTCACACCTGCAGCAGGCAGCATGGTGTGGTGGGGATGCTGGGGAAGCCAGGAGGTCAGGCAGCACCATGGCCCAAGGCGGGCTGGTGCTTGAGCTTTGGTCTGTGGTGTTTGAAAACCCCTTTTTCCCCTCTGGATGTGGTGCTGTCAGATGCCTCGGTGGCATGTCATGGGGACCGTCAGGCTGAGACTTTCTAGCTCTGCCAGCCTTTTTCCTTTATTTTTTTGGACCTTGCTGATAGGGAACTACCTCAAAGCCCAGCCTTAGAGGGGTAGGTGGCCAGTTCAGACAGGGTAACAGCACTTGGAGGCTGGAGCCAGTTGGCTGTGTCCAGAAGTGGGTGCTCCCCGCCAGCGACCTGGCCTGAGAGACACTTGTCATTAAGTCTGGTGATGGCAGTTGCAAGGCCGATAGCTTTGTCAAGGTAGAGTGGGTATAAAAAGAGCCTGTTTTTCAGCACAGCATCCCTCTGCTTTATCTGGCTGACATGTTTGGTGAGTGGCTACCTGACGCTGTGGGAAAGGAGGTGGGTGTCACCTTAGGGGAAGGGATCTGCCACCTGCACTGCCAAACCAAGGGTGACCTTTGCCTCTGATCCAGGCTGCTTTCACGTGGTGCATGGCAGTGGGTGGTGCATCCCTCCTGAGCGGTTTTATTTACTAATTCTGGTCCCAGCGTGTGAAAGTGCTGGGTGGGGATGCAGCAGGGTCACATCTGCCATTCCCCACAGCTAAGTACACAAACACCGTTAATTTTAAGAGGATAAGTTGCCATTTTCAGTTGGATGTTTTTTCAAAGCCGCATGGGGCTATCATGAAAGTCCTTTCCCTGTGTTCTGGTCCCATCGGGGGCCGCTCATAATGTGTCAACCTCAAACAAACGCCCAAGCACTGGAGCTGGATTTTAGCATTTGCAATCCAGGTGCCAAGCTTTCCGCTGGCACCAGCACCGCTTTGACTGGCTTATTGCTAGAGGACTCAGCGCATCCATTAACTCAGAGCACACGAGCCATTAATGTGACATTTGCACCTGATGAAATTGCACTAATCGCGGTGGGATGCCCCTACCCCGCCGCACACGTCTCTCTCATACCCAGGCAGGAGGACGAAGCGGGGAGCTGGCGTGGCTGCGTGCCCAGGGGAGCCCCGCACCCCGAGCAGGCAGTGCTGGGGGTGGGAGCCCTTTCCGAGTCACCCGCACCTGCCTCTCCTGGGTTTGGAAAGGCAAAACCCACCCGGGTGTCACCAGGAGGGTGGGGGGATCAGCCCCATCCCCGGTCCCTGCTCTGTACATGATGCTCCGCTGCTGCTTGGCGGCCTTTGCCCCCAGCCCGTGAGCGAGCGATCCCATTGGTTAAAACCGCCTGGTGTATGATGACGCAGCAGCAGTTGCAGCCAATCCGAGCCTCGGCGCGCTCGGCGGCCCGGGGTTATGAATGAACACAATTCCCACGGCCCTGCGGGGGGCAGGACGCGGGTGGAGGGGCCGTGGGGAGGTCCGGCGCTTCCCGCGGGGCTGGGTGCTGCTGCTGGCTCCTCTGCTCCTGGTGACTCCGTTGTATAGACTTGGGATGTGGTGAACTCCTGGTTACCGTGCGACCCGTCAGCCTCTCCTCTTCCATATGTAACATACTTGTTTCGGTTTTGTTTTGGGGGAGGGTTGTTCTTCCTGTTATGATTTTCCCTTTTTTGTTGGGGTTTTTTTTGCAACTTCTTTGTTAATGTGTATATATATATATATATATAAAAAAATATAATATAATATATATACATTACTGGATATGTCTGTGTGTGGCGGAGATTGTGCAATGTGTGACACCCCCGGCCCTGGGATGCTCTCTTTGGCAGTCACAGTTGGTGTTCTTCAAACCTCTGACAAGATGCAGACCATGAGCCTCAGGATTACCGAGTCATGGTTGTAGCAATAAATCAGCAACACAAAAGAAAAGGCCTTTACTTATAACCCAGGATGGGGATGGGGAGCCAGCCCAGCAGAGTCCTGGCTGGCAGAGCCCCTGAGAGCACAGCAGGCTCCATGGGGCAGCTCAGCAGGAGATAGTGGGAAGGTTTGTTCTCCCCAGGTATGATGCTACATGTCACTCTTGTTCAGGGGGACCTGCCAAACATATTGCTGTGCATCCACAGGAGTGGGGGAACACGTGGTACCATCCAATGGCAGCATTTCTTGTCCTGGACTGCAAACCAGACTTAAGAGCCTATGGGGGTGGCAGGTCACCCTAACATGATGCTAAAGCCCCATATAAAAAAGTCCGTACACATAAATATTCCGCACCCTGCTGTCAGCCCCCAGAGGGTGTCATGCAAAGGCACATTATCCAGGTCATCAGGACACCCAAGTGCTCCAGCCTTCCCTTTCCTGAGCCACAGGCTCTGTGATGGCCACAGAGACTGCTGAAAATCTCGTGAGTGCCAGCCAGATACTGCTGGAGCCTTGTTTCTGCTGCCCTTGAGCTTAGGTCCCACTCAGACCCCCCAAGTGCTTCAAGAGCTGTGGGAGGGTTTGGGAGGATTAACCCCATCCTTCACTGTGGTACTGGACTGAGCTCATGGTGGGGCCGAGCATGGACCGTGACATCTCTCCCCTCTGCAGAGAAGACCCTGCCCCAGCACAGTGTGGCTGACAGCCAGCTCATCTCCCTTATTGCGTATTGGTTTCCCTTTCTGCTGTCTGTGTCTCTGTCCTGGGAGGGCCATGCCAGCGTTCCTGGTGTCCCTCTGCCCCAGCACAGCCCCTGAAGCCACCAGCACAAGCTCCAGATCTCAACCCTGACTGTAAACCCATCCTCCCTGTCCCATCTCTGCTGCCGTTTGCTTGGAGGGTAGGCTCTGCCAACGCATGGGACTGTACTGGGGTAAAACAAGCTGTGGCTGTGGGCCATGGGGTCTGATCCTGCTGCATCTGCCCCAGAGAGCTGCTCCTGCTGGCAGGAGTTCAGCCAGCCCCAGCAATGAGAAATGTGAGAGAGAGCCCCTTCACTCAGGCCCCAGCACTGGGCTCCCAACCTCACCAGCCCTGAACAGTACTGAGATCCTGCCCCGACGCCCTTTAGCTTGGGTCCCTGGGAGAAGGCAGAGCTGGGTTGGCCAACCAAAAGCACATCCCTTGGGGGCTCCCCTGGTCCCCACCAAACAGCACTGGCCCCACGTGGGCTGGGAGCCCTGCACTGCCCCATCCTCTCCTGGCTGAGACAAAGCTGGACCTTCTGCAGGGGCTCTGCAGACTAAGGTGGGGTCACAGGGCAGAAATCTGCCCCAACTTGCCTGAAGAAGAGGAATCAGCAGAGACTGGGGAGCCCAGGATCTGCCTCACCAAAGGGAAGCAAAGATACAAGCCCATGGAAGACAGCCCATCTTTGTTGAGCATTAAGTGCGTAAAATATTTGTCAAGTGGAAAACATATGGTGCAAACCAGCACTGTAGAATTAAATATTTCTTACTTTATTCCTTTGCTCTAGGCTTTTTCCCATTAAACGTTAACCACCAGTACATGGAACCTGGCCTCAAGACTGAGTAGCTACTTTCATTATGTCACCAGAGCAAAGCAGTTCTGCAGCAATGGCTCAGCCCTTCCTGTCAGCATGGGACCTGCACTGGTGGCATCACTGGCCATGGACTGGAGGGGATGGTTAGGCTTGCCTAAAGCTGCCCTGCCTTTCCTGCCTCCCTTTCAGAGGGGTCCCAAGGGTGCTGGGACTCACGTTGGGTGGTGATAGCAGCTCCAGCCCCGTTGCTAGCACTGTGTGTCCAGCCAATCTGCAGGACCCCAGCACTGGGGGGACAAGGTCTGGGGGCCTGCAGCATCTGGGGAAGGGTAACTGCTCATTTGTCTTAGGCAGGTCTGGAGACAGGAAGCAGATGGTCCTGAGTGGACCCACAGCTTTGATCACCTGGCTAAAACTCTGCCCTTCCAACAGCAAAGGGAGAGGAGATGCTCTCAGGCTTGAAGGTGAGAACATGAAGAAGCAAGAGAGTGACCCGTGATAGCTGCCTCAGCCCACCCTTTGCAGACTGGTCAGGTCCTGGGCTCACAGGCCTCCAGTCTCCTAGCAGAGGATGAAGATGCTGCTCTGTTGCCAGGGATGGTGTGAAGTGGGAACAGTTGGAGAGTTGGTATCAAAGGCATGAGATGGGAAGGTTTCAGATTGCCTCCTGTGCTTCTCTAACACTGTGCTGCCACCAGCACCACAGCTCTATGTAGGCTTTCTAAATGGCAGGAAATAAGCCTAATGCTACTTTCATTAACATCACTGGGAGAGGTGCTGCTGACATCAGCAAGACTGGGAATGAGCCTCAGCTTCTGAAAAAAATATCCCTTTCTTCATATTCAATGTTTCCTCAGTCTTTCAAGTTCAATCAAATGCTTCTCAATGATCTGGGATGTATTAACGAGTGAAATCAAATGTTTCGGTGCATTTTCAATCTTCCTTCTCACATGGGTAATTCATATGAACTGTGGACATGGGTCATCAAAGCTTGGGCTAGGGGATGGGGCAGGGGTAGGAGACAGTGAACAAACAGACCTCCAGCAGACACTGCTCCAGGCTTGGGGAGACTCAGCTCTTCTTTTTTTGGTGGTTGGAGAACCCATATCAAAGCAAGAGGAGGAGCAAGAACAAAGCCTGACAGAAATCCAACCTGGAAACTTGATCCACTGAACAAGTTGTATTTTTGGAGCACTCAGGTACACACCAAGAATTTAGCACAAGCCACATTCATCAAAGCCTTTCAGCAATCACCCTCCCCAAAACATTTTTGAAAGGCAAGCACAACACATCAGTACAAAATGTGGGTAGATTCTTCTTTAATTTCAAAATTTTCCAAATTTTCTTCCAATGCTACCAAATAAAAAAGGAGGCCATTTTCCCACTTGGCTCTAATATAGAACTTAACACACACGCAAAAAGCTGGAGGTGACACTAGCATGGGTGAACAGACCCCATGGTAGGAGAGACACCAAGCTAGGAGCCCAGCCCTGGACCCGGCCCAGGTGAACACCCAAGGAGCAGTGAGGACACAAGAAGAGCAAGATCTGATTATTCCCGAAGCCTGCACAAGGGAACAGAGCTCCTGCCCACAAATGATGGGCAAATCACACACACACCAGAAATACCGGTCTGTACTCAGCTGCTTCCTAAATTGGCACCAGAGACTGCTCCCTAAGCGTGAGTCACACTCACTTTCATTTATTCCCTTCCAATTTTCCAGAGCTCTGTCTCTACTGATTGGTGTGGAAAGGAAAGTGAGAGGAGCAAATGCTTTGAAAATGACGGTAGTGTTGCAAAGTCAACATTAAGGCCTGCCCAAGAGGCCTGGATGTCCCCTCCTGTGCATAAGCTGATGCTATCCAGAGGACATGATCACTGGCTCTTTGAACAGAGGACTTCTTTCTTGGGAGAGGAGCTGCTTGCTGAAACGGTGGCTGTTAAACCTTTCTACCCTCAGCACTCCCACGCTGTGCAGAAAGCAGAATTTGTCCTTTCCACGTGAGCTTGTCTGTGGTGTTGGGCACCACGATAGCAGAGCAGCTCACAAGTACTCATTTATTTCCAGAGCCCCCATGAGAAGCAGCAGTATTATCTCCGCTCTGCAGAGGGCTGGCACCTGAGCACAGGAAGGCTGATGCGTCTTGTCGGGAGTCGGTGGTGCGGGGTGCTGCATTTCACAGAGCTGCTAACACTTTCAGAGGATGGTGTTTAATGCTCACTCCAGTGACTGCTGGGATTGGCTGAGCATGGGGACCTTTTTTTTAAATTGAAAAATAAAGCCTCCCAAAGGTTACCGGAATGGCTACAAATTGGCAGTCACACAGCAGAAGGCAGAACCTTACCATGGGAAATGCCAGTCACTGCTCTTGGCTCTGCCTGTTATCCCACCCAGTGAAAACTCCAAAACTGCAGTGAAAATACTCTCTATACAGCCCCACCTGCACATCAGCTGAGCCCCTAGACCCTCTAGAAGGCTATTCTGCTGAGACTTGCACCCAGCTCTCACAACGGCTCTACAGCATGGACCATCCACCCATTCCAACCAGTTCACGACTTCATACTCCCACACCAGCCAGTAGGGGCAGGGAGAGGACAAGCCACTGTCATCTGCAGGGTACCCATCAGTGTTTTCTCCTTTTGAAAGGCCTCATCACGCTGACTTTGGCAGTGATCCCTGTAGAAAGCAGCTCCCTGGAGACACAGTTCGACCAATGCATGTGCATACTGTCTTCCACACACATTGGGAAAACACTAGGATGTCCACAGCCCCCGCCCCAGCAGGGGTAACTATGTTGCCCTCAGCAGTCATGGTGCCTCCTTGTGTCAGCAGTTTCTAGCACACACATACCAGTCCTGCATGCTCCAGAGGGTCTGGATGGAGATGGCCTGTGGTGGGGTCTAAGCTCCCTCACTGCCACCATGTACACATGTACTGCTAGCACAAAGGGCTCCTGAGGGTTGCTTGTAGCCATCCAGTTTCTATTTCTTCTGACTCTCTGGCAGGTTTTCTTCATAGGACAGAGAGCACCAGTGGTACCAGGGAACTCAGAGGTTTATCAGACATCCCCAGTCAAGCAGGACATCCCCTCTGACGCATGGAATGAGTCAGAGGCAGCAGCCAGCCTCGTCTGTGGGTCCTCATTAGAGATGAGCACGAGCCACAGAGGGTGGCTGATGAACCACTCACTAATGAGCCACTGAAGCTCATCTGATG